TTATTTTTCAGTGTTGCTCTTTGGTGTGCAATATAGCGCGACATCTTCAAGCACAGTAGTTGTGAACGCATTCGACGACAAGCCTAGTTGTGCTTGACATTTTCACCTTGTAAGTGCAATGATTGATAATGTGAAATTTATTTACGGCGTCTTAGACTTGTTCTTTTGTTGGGAAGCGTTGGCCAACAAATAGTGTTCTAGGCGGATACACTACCATTTCACAATCAAGGACATGGCCAAACTCAGAGTCATGTTCTTGTATTTGACTGGGAATATTTAGAAAATGTGGAAGTGAGTTGTATAATGGTAATGGTTGTGATAGTGGAATATTTGGAAATGGGAGATAGTTTTTTCCATCATCCTGTTGTTGAGATAGGATTTCATCTTCGTTCTCGTTAAAAGGATCAAATACTTTAATTGAGAGACCCACAACAACATGTTCTTCAAGAGGCTAAGAGGGTAGGATTTGCTCAAATGGTTCGGAGAGTATTTCATTGAGGTCTATGAATGGACCAGTTAAAAGTTGTGTGTAGGATTGAAGGTTGGAATTCATATCATATGTTGAAAAGGATGGACTTATGGTTTCGTAAGTTTGGTAAGGTGAAGGTGAAGGTGAAAGTTGTGGTGGCTGGATTACGTTTGTAGCAAATGTAACATATAATTCTATACCTGATTGAAGTTGATTTGAATCATGGATGTTGAAGAGTGCCTCGACATCTTCATTATCGTTCAACTCAACACATGTGTAGTTGCTAACTCCCGGGCCAAGTCTAATTGGGTAGCAAAAATATATGGTTGTCACCCTTTCATTTGAGTCTCGGTTAAGTTTTGTGTGGATAATTTTCTTGAGCCTTTGTAGAGTCACTCATCTCTTTAGATGTACTAATTTCACTGATGGTGAGGTGAACGTGACTCTTTCATTAGGACATTGGTTAATGGCACCATCAGAGTGAACAATGACATAGATTGAAGACATTTTTAAAAGGAGAAGGTTCACAAGAACAAAGAACAAGTTTAGAAGGTTGAATGAATAAAATAAACACGAATATGGCTATTTATAATGATAACGTTGGATTCTTAATCATTCAATGCTTCACCACATTCTATGAGTGATGATTACCTCTCCATTCACGCATGCCAAGAGATAGTGACATGCCAAGGCTACATGACATCTCAGTCATGCATGCCAAGAGATAGTGACTTTTCAGTCACGCAGACCAAGGCTACATGACATATTAGTCACGCATGCCAAGAGATAGTGACTTATCCATTTATCTATAAATATGTTCATCCAAGGTCACATGTTTTTATTCAAACTTGCATCCATCTTTGTTCTTTGTTTTTCTTTATCTTTGCTCTCATTACTAAAAATGTTGTTCTGGAAGCAAAACGAACACAGATTTGCCTTCATTGAAAGAACGGTAAGTTTTACACATTAGCAAGTCTAAATGAATATGTAAATCAATATTTTACATATAATGTTACTAATTTATTAATAACTGCAGGAAACTAAAAACATGACTTCATTTTTCTGTCATTTAATGCCAGAACCCAGTCCTCTAATTATTTTTATACTTGAACAACTTGGTTTTGCTGAGATTGCAAAGCTAAGGCATCTTAAAGTGGATCACGCGTTGATAACAGCTTTGATCGAGAGGTGGAGACCTGAAACTCACACATTCCATTTTCCAACAGGGGAGTGCACCATAACCCTGGATGATGTTGCACTTCAACTTGGGCTAAGAGTTGATGGTTTACCAGTCATTGGTCCAACAATGTTGGACTGAGAGGAAATGTGTGACACATATCTCGGTATTGTGTCAGTCAAGCGAGAGTCACTTATTGACTCTATGCTAAAACTAAAGTGGCTGAGAGATAATATGTTGCCATTACCAGAGAAGAACCATCTGAAGAAGAAGTTCACGCCCATTGCAAAGCTTATATACTAGGTTTAATTGGAGGTGTTTTGATGCCTGACAAAACAGGCAACAAAGTACATCTTATATATTTAGCTTTATTAACTAATCTTAGAAGAACAAGACGATATAGTTAGGGTTCTGCTTGTTTAGCTATGTTGTACAGAGAAATATGCAGAGCCACGAAAGTTGGTAGCAAAACAATAGGTGGTTGCTCATCAATGTTAATGTCTTGGGCATGGTATCACATGCCATATATTGCGCCAATTTCTAGTAATCCACCAATATACCCTCTCGTGTGCAGATAGAGTAGGGGTAGAGTACTAAACTTTTGAAATAAACCTCACAATGATGTTGTGGGGTACAGATCAATGTTTGATCATATTCAAGCTAATCAGGTAACTCGTTATATTTATTTTCTTATCTTTTACACATTTTCTTAAATAACAAAGTTAAATATATTTGTAGTTTTTATGGACGTCATATCAAGACATGCAAACATCAATACTCATGGAAGCATATAGAGATGTCCAACTGTAGACTTCATGTACTGCCATCCTTTGTTTTGCAATTGTTGAATGACACCAAATAAATAGAGTCAAATTACAGTTTCGTCTAATCCAAGAAGTTCATTCTCTACGGAATAATTTGAGTGACCTCTACAAAATTGACATGAGAGGAAGACAGGATAAAAATTGGGTTACAAGACATGTTCAATGGATTAAGATGTGGAACAACAGACGTGAGCTAACAATAACAGGTCATCCAATTCAAGGCCCATTGTGTCACACACAAGAATACATGGAATGGTACATTGCTAATTCTATCTATTTTCTGTCTATGCTACAACTACTACAAGATCCAAGGACGAGCGACCAACAACAAAGGACTACCAACACATTTGAAATGGGTACGACTTCCACACTGTCGTACCACGAGACTACATCAATTCCTCTGAACATTAAGCCAAAAGCAAACATAATTAACACAAGACATTCGTTTGCAACAACATCAGAGGATTTTTTTACAAACTTATTTGGAGTTGATTTTACAACTTCATCTTCAGCACAAACTTACATGCAGTTTCTTTACAACCAGATTTTGCTAATGAACCTGGTAATTCATCAAATGCATTGCAACAACTAAATCTTCATGATGATCCAAATTCTCCACAAGTTCATCCTGAAATCTCAGAGCAACAATCACAATGACGAAACCCACCACGTCACAGACGTCGCCCTTATTGTGAAACTGACCACCGTTACGGAGATAGTTAATTATTAATGTTGTTATAAATTTGTTATCATTTTTATTAATATACTTTGTCTTCATCAATGTTATCTTAATAATACGAAAACGTTAATTTTAAAATATTTGTCTCAACTATAAATAATTAAATTATAATTTAATATTTTATTTATTTTTTAAAAATAAATTTTTTATTCTCAAATAAGATTTATTCAAAATTATAATAGTATAATTTTAGAGTTTAGGATATTAAAAATTATAATATTAAATAATGACATTTTTAAACAAATAATTTAATTAAAATAAAATTTTTATTCAAAATATCATCTTATCATATTAATATTTAAAAATATTAAGTCAAAATTACATATTTAAATAAATAAATAAACAGAAAAATATTTAATATATTTTTTTAATTTTGAAAAATATTTTTAGTATTCTTTAAGTAGAAATTATTTAAATATTAACATTATTATCTAAAATAATATGCTTATTATTTAAATAGTTTTTAAAAATTAACTAAAATAATTTACTTATTTAATTATTTTTTAAAAATTTAGTTATTATTATTTTCTAAAAATATTATTTATTATCTTAAATATGTCAAATAAATTTTAATAAATATTTAAAATTAATATTATTACTATTTTTATTGATTTTTAAATAATATAAAAATAAAAATAAAATTCAAATAATAAAACTTATTTTATTATATAACTAATAAAATATTTATTGAAATAATATATTATAAATTTAAATAATAATATTTATTTATTATAAAAAAATTAAAAATTAACTCAGAATTCGGTTACTAAGAAATCGAATTCTGAATAAAAAGAAAAAAATCTAGTTTTATAATAAAATTGGGAGAAGGTTTATCTCAAAAATTTTATTTTATTTTTTGTAATTTTACAGTAAAAAACTCGTAGAAAGCCGCAATTTGTATATTTTTTCCTTAAAAATTACAACTTCGTTGTTGCTGTCGTCACCTGAGCTTCCTTAAAAGCTGTGACCTATCTCTACGAGTTCCAACTTCCGAGACCATGTCACATGTGGATATGATTGTTTATTTTGAAGTTAAAAAAAATTATTTATATATTTTTAAAAATATAAATTTTTAATTATATTCGACAAAAATGTTAATTTCATAAAATAATTTAATGTAACTTTAAACCAAATAAATAAATAAATTTTATAATTCATCAAATTGTAAATAATAAAAAATATTATTAATACTATAATATTTAATACTTTCCCTATCTTATATTAAGTTTTTTTAGTACTTTTATTTATTTTAAATTATTTTTAACTTTAAAATATTAAGATTAATTATAACCTAACAACTATAATTATAACAACATTTTTAGTAAAAATATTTTAATAAAATAATTATATTAATATTATCATAAATTATTAAAGTGAAAAATTAATTTTAATTGTCAAACATTATTTAATAAATTGTACTTAAGTTTTATCTTTTATATTATAATAAATATTGATAAAATTAATTATTTTATAAAATTATATAGATTAATATTAAGTGATATTTAATATAAAATAAAAGAAATAATATAAATATATTAAATTATATAATTTTGAATAAAAAATTAATATATATAAATTCTGTGTTAAGTAGGTGAAAAAAATGAATAACTAAAATTGTTGTTAAATTCAACCATAGATTATTATTAGTACGTATGTAACGTGATTTGTTGGATCTCAACTAGCAAGAATATTCTCAAAATGGTGATTATTGGACGCAAATTGGAATCATTCCAACCGAATATGCTGCCATTGGCGCTTCCATATTTAAGTTTTGAAACTCTCACAAACACCAATTGTATTGAAGTACAATTCCTTGCATCTGAATCTCTTTCATACCATGTTTCTGACATCAAGAATTCCGAATTAAGGAAACAAAACATAGATTTTCGATCGTAATTGAGGTTGTTGTGTCAAAATTAGAAACATGGAAGCGGTGGGAAGGCTCGGAAGCTACATCACGCGCGGCGTCTACACCGTTTCAGGGCCGTTTCTTCCATTCGGTGGCGCTGTGGACATTGTTGTTGTTCAGCAGAAAGATGGTTCCTTCAAGTCCTCTCCTTGGTACGTTAGATTTGGAAAGTTCCACAGGGGTTTTAGCTTTAAGGAAAATGTCAAGGTTAATATCAGCGTTAATGGACTCGAATCTGATTTTCACATGTATTTGAACCGTAAAGGGGAAGCTTCTTTTTTTCATGCCCAAGAACAAGAACAAGAGGGGGAATCTGTGTTTAATTATCCATCTTCTGGTGATGAAATTGAAACCAATGATGTCCAACCAAGGGGTAATAAGAGGCATTTCAAGTCCAATAGTTGTAATTTTGATTCAGACAAGTCATTTTCAGAGGCTAATGTTGATAAGGTTGTGGTGGGTAGGACTAGTTCTCGCCGCTCAAGAATTCTTGGGCTTGTGTTTGGGCCAAGGCCTTTGAAAGGGGAAGGTGAAGATGGTGATGTGAATGGGGTGGATTCTTTGGAGCATGCTGAGATTGCAGCCAAGTTGTTGGAGCTTAAATGGTCTACCAATCTTACCTATGATAAAATGCCTCCTAGAGACAGGAAAAAAACTAGAGGTCAAATGAAGGAGGAAGCTTATTCTTTCAGTGAACAAAATAAGATCAGTTCCAAGGTTGGCTTTAACGATATGTTGCGCCTTGCAAGTTCAGGATGTGGACAAATTCATGTCCATCCTCAGGTCTTGCATGCTACAACTTTACTTCTACCTGAGGTAAATGATGTTAAATTCTTCGATAAGATTCAGTTTGGATAAACTTTTCATCAGAAAATAAAATGAATCAATATCTTAGAGTTAAAATAAACTAATATACCTCAACATTTTCAGAAGTTACCTTATCTAATTGTTGCGTAAGGACTTCTAAATGTAATAGATTTCGACATTTTGTGTTGTAAGAATCTTAGTAGTAAGGTAGAAGCTAATTTGAATTGGGCCTAAGGGTGGGTTTGGATAACTAAATTTTTAAGCTCTTATTCAATAAGCTAGTTTTAAAATGATGACTAATGTCATGAATTTAAAGATGAAACTTATTGGGATAAGTTGAAAATAACTTACGAGACTCAGAAGCTCTTCCAAACAGATCTTCTGTAAAGCAAAAGTGTGAAGAGGGTGTTCTGTTTTGGTTGAGACTCATGCGTTAAAATTTTGTATAGGTTACACAAACTGAGGAATTCACTAAGAATTTTGATCCTGGAAGGCCAGTATTGGAGGTATCTGAGTTGCATTCTCAGCAAAGAGATTGTTCCAATTCTGGTATGCGTGATGCCAAAGATGTTGGAAACACACCAATGTTTCGAAAATCTCAAACTGTGAATATTGATAGAAGACGTTGTTCAGTTAAGAATAGTGCAAATACTCCTACGTCTGAACAGCTAGCATCCTTGAATCTGAAGGAAGGGAGGAACACAGTAACCTTCAGGTTCTCTACAGATATGCTGGGGAAGCAGCAGGTTGGTAATTAATGAATTTCTAATTTTATTTCAAGTAAATGACGATTAATTTTCCTTTCTTTTTTTTGAGATCTTACTTTTATTGTTGTTTTGGTTTACTTTATTGACTATCAGATTGATGCTCGGATATATTTGTGGAAATGGAACACTCGTATAATGGTATCAGATGTAGATGGAACAATTACACGGTGAGGATATATCTTATTGAAATGGAAATTGTTTTCCAGATAGATATTATACGTGACAGAGTACTGATTAATATTTATTCTTAGTTTCTTGCTTTTTCATTGTTAATTTGATAGCTTATCTTTATAATAAATATACTTGGTATCACCTTAAAAAATAAAGGATAGTTGGTATCTATCAAAAACATTTCCTCAGCAATCATGCTGAAATATTGACAGAGTGAATCAATGGAGGTTAAATATTTCTTGCTTCCTAATAGAAGCATTTCTAACATCCATATATATATGCCTATGCTTTTAATTTCCATATCTTCTCTTTTGTTTTTGGCTCTAGAGTTTAATTCTACTCTATGGTGTGACAATGTTAAATTCTTTCTTTTATTTTATGTTTGACAGGTCAGATGTTCTAGGTCAATTCATGCCTTTAGTCGGAATCGACTGGTCACAGACAGGGGTTGCTCATTTATTCTCAGATATCAAGGTTTGTTTGTCTTCTCTGTGTGTTCAAATGTTTTGAGATTACTTCAATGTCAAAATAACATGTTCTTTAGTTAAATCTTGAATACTTTAATCATGCATCACTTTTATCTCAGCAACGTTCTTGAACAGGTGGTCCATTGATTGCTTTGTCTGTTAAATTGGTTATTAGCATGTTTGGATTTGCACTTAAATGCTTATGGATATACGTTTACTTTAATGTCACTATTTGTAGTTTCTGCATTGAATCTATGTTTACCTTGTGTGTTTTATTTTCCACATACATTCCTGACAATGATCAATTAATTTGTCTAGGGAGTTTTAGGATAGAAACTGTCCTTTGCCTGTAACAGCTATCTTCTGATTGGTTTTGTTTGCGGGGTGTGCTATATTCTCTTGTCTAACACAAGCTTTACAGGAAAATGGTTACCAGCTACTTTTTCTCAGTGCTCGTGCAATTTCTCAGGCCTATCACACAAGACAGTTTCTATGCAACCTAAAACAGGTGATGCATAAATTTGAAATCTATCTTAAATGTCATGAATGAACAAAACAAGAAGAAAGAAAGCGGTTTAGATTCTCTTATTTGTTTTGTTATATTGCAGGATGGGAAAGTTCTACCAGATGGTCCTGTTGTTATTTCTCCTGATGGACTTTTTCCTTCTCTATACCGAGAAGGTATGCTTATTTTTTCCTGCCTTGTGACATGCATGATAATTTTCCCTTCTTACTTATAGGAGTACTTCTGCTACATTTTTATGGTCTAAATGTTCTGGTTACTACTAGCCACAATGAAGGTTTATAATAATCTATTGTTATTATATTCATAAGATAGATGTAGAATTGCCTGTGCTGATGATAAGGGTCTTTAGTGGTGACATATTTGTGCATCATTTTATTCTTTTCATAAAAGTAGACGTAGGTTGTGTTTGAAAACACTTTGAAAAATCTGTAGACATAGATTAAATGCAAGAGTTACAACTAATGGTTTTGAAATAAATGTGAATCACCGGGCATTCAAATATGAATCTAAACACAGACGTAATCTTTCTCCAGTTAGGGATTTCTCTATTTAGATTCTTCCTATAACTCTAATTGGGCACATATTACAAGTGTGCAGAATTGAATGTTTGATTCTATAATACCCTGATAATGGCCTTAATAATACTTGGGGTTATAACACATTTCTTATACATTTCCAGTTATCCGAAGGGCTCCTCACGAGTTCAAAATTGGATGTTTAGAGGTTAGGTTCCCACTGTAACATACCAAATTTGATAAAATTTGTTATTTTCAGTATGATCATCATGTTATTAAAAATAATTTGAATTTTAATGCATTCAGGACATCAGGGCACTTTTTCCTCCTGATTGCAAACCCTTCTATGCCGGTTTTGGAAATAGGGATACTGATGAAATCAGCTACCTTAGGGTTGGAATCCCAAAAGGAAAAATATTCATCATTAATCCCAGGGTAATAAATCTCATATTACTTTTAAATAAATAAATGCGAAAAATTCCTTAATTGTTTTAGTTTGCTAAACTTTCATTCTGATATCTAAAATTTTCAGGGAGAAATTGCCGTAAACCGTAGTCTTGACACAAAATCATATACTTCTTTGCATGCTCTCGTGCATGGAATGTTCCCCCCTACAAATTCATCTGAACAGTTTCCTTTTTGTTTTTGTTTTTCTTCAAATAGGGGATTGTGATTTTTATGTTGGGTCTTCCCAGAATTTATAAATGCAAGTTTTATGTAATATGGGTTTGTTTGCAACGTTAACTTGTATTTTGACTGCTGAATATTGGTTTCAGGAGGATTTTAATTCATGGAATTACTGGAAGTTACCTTCCGCTATAAATATTTGAAAGGGTCTTTTGGCACTTATAGCTTAATATTATCAATGATCTGGTGCGGATAGATGCAGGACTGCAGGCTGTGCTGCTCCTAGAAATATATCGGTAAATTTGATTTTTGGTTCCACATAATATGTTTAGACTACAATAAGCTTTTTAGTTTATTGATGGTATACTTTTATTAATCAGATTTCCTAAGTTGTTTGGGGAAATGTCTTTTAACTTTTCTAGAAAAATATTTGTTTGGTGTTTGTGACTAAATGTTCAAGATGATGTCCAACAAATATAGAACTTAAACTACTAAGGTTCTGGTTGAAAGAAATTATGAAAAGTTTATGATTTTTTAAACTTTCTTTTAAAAAAATTATGATCAAATATATTATAAGCTCTCGTATAAAAAGAATTTATTAAATAAACATTAATTAAGCTGTGTTTCTAAATCACCCTTAAAGAGAATTTCTCAAGTCCTAATGTTCTGAACCTCTTCATGATACAAATTAGCTGTGTGTCCTTGTGCGTGCTGCTTCATTTTGGCAACTATTTGCTAATACAGGTGATGTGTGGAATGCCAGGAAAATAGAATCATTATGTGGAATTGGGTAGATGAAGGATATAAAGGACAGCACAAGATACATTATGCCTGCTTCCTGCTTCCTGCTTCAGATGGTGTGACATATATCAGATACCTTTGTTTGAGTGATCCATGAAACATTTAACGCACTAGATTTTCATGGGCATGATATAACTACAATCGTATGATGAGAATCCCACCAATACAAACATCGTGTCTCTTCTCATTATCATCAATGAGTTGCATCACCTATGCATGTATGTATGTATAATGTATCTATGTAATCTTGGATGACTCTCCATTTTCATTTTCTCATAATGTAGAAAAGCTTTTGCTCCCTACACGGGTGTTCGGTGGGTTGAGGATAAAAGTTATCCAATTCAATACCATCGGATTTTTTTTATTTCATTATTCAATTGAATTCATTTTTAATTCAATTATTTTATTTCCTTTTTCAATAACTAATTGCTTTAAGCCCCGTGAAGACTGAAGAAATTTGGTTGAAAATGAAAGAACCATTTGTGCATTTAATGTTAATTGTTGTTTGAGTTTGGGTTAAAATAGTGTCTAGGCCCGATTATGAACATGGATAAAATTGTGAGTCTAAATCGAAACAAATTGCTCCAATTTAAAGCGTGTTAGATTTAATTGTTTTCAGTTTTTATTGTGTTCTCAAAAGAGAAGTAAATTTATTTTTAATATTAAATACAAATTATATAGTTAAGAAAAATATAAGGTTCAAGAACAAATTTCAAACCCAAAAGTTCCAATCAATTCAATTAAAAAAAGGGGAAAGTAAAAAGAACTTGTAATAACTTAATTTTGAATTATGAAAAAAATATGATAAATTAATCTTAAGAATACCTAAAATTTATATTCAATTTCATATACATCAGCTAGTAAAAAAAAAAAAAAACACCTTTGAATAAAAAATAACTAAGATAAAGTTTTATTACTATGAATAAGGAGGCTTTATGTGCTTATAATGCTATGCGCATACTTTTGTCAAAAATAAAATAAAATAAATTTTGGTTACATTTCATTTGTGGAATCTACTTTTGAACTTTTCTTCCTAATGATTTATCCTTAAACTTTAAAAAAATGAAAAAAAACAAAGAGACATTACCTTGCTATTATTTTGTGAATTCATTGATATAACTCAAAGATAATTTTTTTAGGAGAATTTGTAAAGGATAATTGAAATACAATAAAAGCAAAGAAATGAAAATATAATATTAAGAGTATAACGAGAGTTGAAAAAAAATTATACAAAGAATAAAAATATTAAATGTTTACATATATGTCCGTAAGATATATATTCAAAATAGTGAGGGCAATTTCTAGGCACAAATACCACTGGACCACAAAATAAACACACTTATATTGATTTAGAAATTAAGTGGTCTATTTGTTTAAAAAATCTTAACCATTTAAGTTTATTATTTTCATCTATTACCATTTTAAAATGACGATTACAACTCTTTTTTATATAATTTTCATATCAAATACTATAATTAAATTGATAACAATCACATTCAAATAAAAACGAAACTTAAATGAAGACTGACAATAGATATTTTAAAGTGATAACATATATCTTGATCTCTTTAATATATTGTGAAACTTTATTATTTAATTTTTTTTCCTTTCAGTTGAACTAATTTTGATCTAATTATGAATTACATTTAAAAGTTTAAAAATTTGGGCTTTTAACACTTATAATAATAATAATAATAATAATAATAATAATTATTATTATTATTATTATTATTATAAATTTACTTTCAAATATTACAAATTTATTTAATTATTTTAACCTTTTTTAATTTTTCATTTAACTTGACGGGTCTAAATTAATGACAACCCCTGGTACATCTTATCAAAAGCATCAAGTACTCTGAGATTTCTGGAACACAAGCTCGAAGTTGAGCCATTTATGCCATTAATATGGCAATGTAAACTAACATTATCTGGTCCAACTAAATTGATGCCAGCTTTATCAGCCAAGCAAGTGTTATTTGATGCTCCGTAGTAACTCTCCTTGGAAATAACCCTAAGAGTGTAAAAACCAGGCACCATTTATTATTAGCAAAATGCCAGTTCTAGACATGTCATAATGAAATCAACCGTGGCTTATTGTTCTTCACCAATATTCCAAACATGTTTTTATCCATACACAACATGTTCTTTATTAGAATATGTGTTTTATATTAAAAAAAATGTTAAAACTGATTCTCTTACTATAAACCAATTAAGTCCTGTGTCTACTTAGGATGCAATACGTGCAAAGTATATAATAAAGAGTGGAGAAAACACTTCCCTAAAGTATGGCCACTATATTGGAAAGGAAAGAGAGTCAGCCACGTATAGTGAGTGTATTAAGATTCTTTGTTAATTTAGAAACAAATATATTTTAAAACATTAAAATTAAGAGAAAATATCAGTGAACAATCTAATAGAAGAATGCTAGTATATTATATAGATTTTCTGTTCCATCACCCTCACAAAAATGGCATAATTAATAAGTATAATTCATTATAGGCCTTACTTTTGTTAAGAAAAAAAATGAAAAATATATTTTAATTATTCGGATTAGTTGTGTATAAATTAACCCTTTTTTTCACTTGATAAAATGAATAAATGTGTGAAAGGTGAATAGAGAGTTCAGAGTGACAATTGTCATGGTAAGTGTTAAGCCACAGGGAATAATCTCTTGTATCAATTTATAATGCAATATGCTTGGCATGCCATATCAAATAGTATCGTACTAGAGAATAAGACAGTGAATAACGTCGTTTACACGTTTTAGATACATGGGAATCGCAACGAAGATAGATGTTTATCTTCTCACCATTACATCTACTGTTTCATACTTTTATAAGAAAATTTAATCTTTTAAATATATATAATTTATTTAAATTAATTTGTTATTTTTTATTACTGATTAGAAAGACGTTGCAATATGAAAATAAAAAAATTATGTTGGAAATAAACATTCCACAATTTTTATATTTAGTGATATAAAATGATAAAGAAAAATAACAATCCATTAAATAAATTTTGAATTAAGTTAATTTTATATGGTTGTTTTAATGCTTAATAGACGCATCAGATTAACTGCTAACACGTATAAATGGGTACTCTTCTTTCTATCTAAAAACACATTTAATTTTTCGCTCACCCGATAAATTTCATTATTTTTGTGCGAGAAAAAGAAAGAAAGAAAGAACCAATTTTAGTTACCAATTTCAACTATAGTATTCAAAGTTCTTGTCGATCGATCGTAACTTTTTCATCTAATCCAAATATGAAAAATTATAATTTTCAAGATCATACGTGTTTATGCTTTCGCCTAATGTCTTACATAATATTTTATTCACATTCATCATTTTATCTTTTATTTTTTTTCTTATATTTCTTTCTTCTTTACCTCTATTCAGCACGCTAAAAAGGGTGTAAAATATTGTTACTCTAAAAATATTTCAATTCCTAATAACGCGTTTTGAAAAAACATGGAAATAGGCATAGTTAAGAAATTATATATATAAAAGAAAACATGAAAACAACAGTACATAGCTGTTTGTAAATCAGCAGCACCACGAAGGCGGGCGCGTGAAACTAAACAACTAAAGTGGTTAAAAGACGAGGTTTAGACATAATAATAGACCATAACAGAGGAAGTACCCCACGCGCGTAGGAATATATAATCCCTGAGTTGGTGGGTACGGAGATGAATCACTTTCCAAAGCCACGATCAAGGAGATAGTCGATGAGAATATCAATTTCTTGGCCGCTAATTTGACCATCGTTGTCGAAGTCAGCTTTTCCGAGACAACGAGAGGCTCGCCATGAAGGGATGATGGCACCTAAGTCCTTAAGAGCAATTTTGAGCTCTTCCTTGTTGTAAGAACCGTCCATGTTAATATCTGCTTGCCTCAGTTTTTCCCTTATTTTCTGAATCTTCCCCAAGTCCACCCCAATTGCCTTTGGCTGGTCACGAGGGACTAACACAGGCATTTTTGTTCTCTTCTTTCTCAGTTATCTACTTCAGAGGGTGAGAGTGAGAGTGAGAGAGGGAATGGGATCAATGGCTATGCCTTTGCCTTTGCCAATGCTCACACTAGGTGATTTAAATACACCGCTTCATGGGTCGGGTCGTCAATTTGGCCTTTCCAATTCTCAAGCATGTTAAAAGTCTCTATTTTGATAATTACCCGTTTTAAAAGTAATTTTGACTTAAAAATGTTCAAATAACAATTTAAACTAAATCAATCCTTTAATACATATTATCTAAACAAAAACTACGTTATTTTAAATACACTTTTATTAAAAATCAACTTTAGAAACTTACGTAAATCACTACAAGAAATGTGTCATTTAGTAACAGTTAATAATAATCGCCAATAAATTATTTTAAAAATAACATTTAATGTTGATTTTAGTAGTCGCAAAAAATGTAAAATTTAGTAGCAATTTTGCATAACCACCACAAAAAAATACAGGATTTAATGTCACTCCTCTCTCATTCTCCATCCCCCATTCAAAGCTATCATTCATCTCTACCTTAACTTCACGAGTTCTACCATTCTCTCTGCCATTCTCTCTGCCACTGCTGCCACCGCTGCCGCTGCCCCTGCCATCACTGCTGACCAAAAATAAAATATTGTCCTGCCAAAAATAGAACATTGTCGTGCACAATCTAAAATTTGAATTTAAAATTTTAACATCAGTTTTGAACTGCTATTAAATAATTGTCACAAATTTTAAAATTTAGCGACGGTTCAAAAATGCCACAAATTTAGCTTTACGTCGTCAATTTTAACGTCAGTTTTATAACCGTTGGAAAGATATTTAGAGGAGGTTAAAATTGTCACTAATAATAAAATTTAACCGCCACAAATAAACAATTTTTTGTAGTGTATCTAAATTTAATTTTTCAAATGCTCTCGGTCATTCATTCAGGACTGAATTGGGTTATACCAAAATATATATTGAATCAATTCATATCATATATTGAACTAGTCAAATCAAGTTCGACCATTTGTGCCTCAATCATCTTACAATTCAGACAGATAGAAACCATTCCTATGAATTAATATCCATTTTTAATTTTATAAATTAAAATCCTATCTGTTTAGTCTAAAGTTGCATTATTCTCACGCAGAAACAACTAAAATCCGATTCCTAGGCTAAATGTAGTATGTATCCGAGGACATGTTTGAGAAGGGATTACTCACCCTGTCGCATTAATTATCTGCGATTATCTTATAGACATTGAAATAACTCGAAAAGAACGCAACGTTATCCAACGAAAACAAGAGAATAATAAGTAAAGAGAAAGAATATATCTCCATCATATGGTGTGTGTTCTCCTCATCCACTAAATATCCATGCTATGTTAACCCATAAATTATATACATTTAAGTTTTAAAAGTATTTATATCCTCTCGTATTGTTGAATAATATGATAAGGTTATAGCAAAGATAATATAATAGGTTTTATAATCAATTATGGTGAATTTTTATTAATGAAATTGTATTTTTTTTTCTCTAACTTATTATGTTACTCAATAATATAAAAATACCTAAAATTGTTTTGAAAGTAAGAAAAATGTTAATCCTAACTTTTTAGATTGACTTTAAAATATAAAAATAATAAATTTTTATAAAATATATTTAATAAACTTTTACAATTTTAATACAATTAAAATCCTATATCCTTTCCCACTCAAAATCTCACCATTTTGTATGAGAAAACAAATTGGTAAGCTCCACATAAAACAACAAAGTATACAAAATATCTAAACACATAATTCATTTTCTACAATTTCTTTCTCCGGCTATTTAATCTTTTTTCACTAAAACATAAAAGTAAAAGCATCAATGCTTATTTATAAGGTGTATGTATGAATATATTCTTGGTGACCACTCCCCTTACATTGTTTGGAGACAATTTTTCTTGAACTCGGATATTGATCTGTCTTCAAATTTTTGCGTTCATTATCCAATGATTCATGTTTTTTTTCCGCATATTTTATTAACTTTTAAATTTCAAAAATAAAATAAACAAAAGATATATTTTTCTCTTCAACTGCATAACATCCATAATCGTTTATCATTGTCTATTTCTACATGGAGAAATTTTGATCTTTCCATCTTATGGGAGATTATCCTTCAAATATTAATCAATAAAAACATTTTAATAATACGTCCAATATAAACCAATTAATCAACTAATTGGAAGTTAATCAGTCAGGCTAGAGCAAAAAAAATGAAAAAAATAAACAAAAATCAATGGACCGTAGCAAAAGAACAGTGTAGGGAGACACCTTGTGTAACAGAGCATCCTTAAAAATAGAAAAAGAACAGATGTAAACGAAAAGCAATGGAGCTAACACCTTCCGTGAGTGCCTCTCCAACCGATTTAGGTATATGGCATGATGCATGGCTTCCAAATACCTCACAAACAGTGACTTCAATAATATCAACCCAGACTCAAGAGTATCTTGAGTCAAGTTGACTAGCAGGTTCATCCACAACCCCTTCATATATCCAATCACCATTGTTCAATCACCAAGTATGAAGTGCACATTGGAGTGAACAGTGATCATAAAATGCATATTGGCTGAAAATAATAATGTATTTTATACTATAAAATAACAGAAACCTTTCAAATTTAAAATTAGTGAAACAGACATGTTTGGTTTTTTTTTTTTTTTTTGGTAGCTACAAACACCATGGTTATTTATAATTTAAGTAATCAAAGAAAGTTAACTTTTTTTTTTTTTTTTTTTTGTAAAACTTTGCTGTGGATGTCGTATATATTATCTTTGCTATATGAGAAATAACATATACTGTGGAGAACAACTTTTTAAAAGTCATAAAACCTGAGAAATATTAAGCAATAAATTAACGATTCTTTAACCAATAAAAGTTTAGTTGCTAAATTCGTAAAGGAGCAATAAACATTTCCTCTTAAATGATTCCACTTATTTGAAAGACAACCTTTAAATAATTTTTGAGTTTTTAATATAATTTAATTTTTTAATATATTTTTCCAACCAGAACAAATAATTAATTCATAGGATACAAAATCACAATTTAATTTATATATTTAATATTTAGTTTTCAATTAATCATACACTAAATAAAACAATAAATTTGAGCTCAAGTATTTGAATAATGACTCCTTCTATCCCATATTTAGATATTATTTGAACATTTTATATTTATTTTAAATTATTTTTCATTTTAAAATATAAAAATATTAACTGTTTTTTAACAATGTCTTTATTTATTAGAAATAATTATTGTCAATTAACTTTCAAAATAATTTTAAAATTAATTATTATTTAACTAATGCATTAACTTTAACACTTTCAATAGATATATTATAGAAAAAATTAATATTTTTATAAGATGTATTAGTACTAAATAATATAGAATATGAGACGAGGGAGTATGAAATTAAGTAAGTAGTAGAGAAGTAGAGATAATTAATGCCGTTATTAATTATTAGAATCCATGCTTAGAGCAGTACGGAAATTCATTTAAAGCAAATTGGAATAAAGATATTACTAGAATATAAACCATCCAACTGAATGTTTCATAGCTTCTCTTTGTGCTTTTGCTACAACATTATAAACATTATTCGAATTCTCAAACTTACGAAAAAATTAAAAGGGTGTTCATTTTTAAAAGAGATGTATATATTTTTTAAAATAGTCGTATTTTATAAAATATCAAATAATTAGTTTTAATTAATAATTATTCAATTTTACACTTTAACAACGAGTTAAGTTAATTTGTCGTGTTATGACCGGAAGATCATGAATTCAATTCTCTTAACAAGTGAGAGCCTTAATTATACACAGTCTCACAAAACAAACTATTAAAAGAGTTTTTTTAAGGATAAAATTTATAACTTTTTAAACCTATTAGTTCCTACTGTCAACTGAGTTCTATTAAAAAATATCTACAAAAGTTCAACTCATTATTGTTGCTTTAGTTTGTATTAAATAATTATTTTTAATATTTTATTATTTAAAAATTTATATTGTAAAACAATTACACCCATTTTCTCTTTTAACCTTTTCCTCTCTTTCTGTGATCTTGCAACCAGATCTCACTCCAATTTTGCAATGGCAAGCACTCCCACTTCACATGAAGAGTTTGCATACAAGGTCAAGCTAGTAGAGCGAGTGCTACAAAGAGATGGTGGAGTTCATGGAGAAGATCTTCGTTACTGTTGAGAACGAGAAACTCACTACGGAAGAAAGAAACCTCCTCTCTATCACTTAAAAAACGTCATTAGTGCAACAATGCATTTCGTAGCATAACATCTCCTCCTTCAAGTAGAGGAGAGTAAAGGAAACGAGGACCATGTCACTATTATCCATTATCAATCAACATGAGAGAGAAGAGGTCCGAACAGAGGGAAAAGAGACCAAACAAAATTGTACAAAGTCAAAAATTAAAAAATGACCACAAATCTAGAATAGCCTTGACGAAACAAGTTAGGAGAGTTGAACAATGATAAAAAAATTGATCAAACATGTTGCCATGCACGACAAAGACAACAACCAGAGAGAGAATCAAATTCGATGGAGGACGATTGCAAGTGGTGCATGTGAAGACACACTAGTTGAAATTAAGTGGCGCACAATGAAACAAACTAAATCCACGAATTACTAATAAAAATGATAACAGTAATAGCAGTGATGATTGAACAAAGAAGAAGGCCGAAAAACAAATTACAAAAAAATTGGATTAGTTATTAATTTTTCAAAATAATATAAATACTTTTTAGGTTTTTTAATATTGACTTTTAAATAATAAAATATTAAAAATTATTATTAAGTATAGACTAATGTAATAATAATGAGTTGAATTTCTATAATCCAGCTCATTACTTTACCGAATTCAGTAGACGTATGAATTGTACTTAATTAATTTAGTCTATTATGTATAATGTTCACTTTACATAATTATCTAATGCTCTCAAATTTTTTAAAGTTGCATTTATTATATATTGTTCGTATCACA